CTTAAAAAAAAAAAAAAAAAAAGAGCCCACTCAAAATGCAAATTGGTGTAGCCACTGTGGAAAACAGTATGAAGGTTCCTTAAAAAGTTAAAAATAATACTACCTTACAATCCAGGAAATGTACTACTGGGTATTTACTGCCAGAATACAAAAAAACACTAATTCAAAGGGATACATGCATCCTTATGTTTAAAGCAGCATTATTTACAATAGCCAAACTATGGAAGCAGCCCAAGCATCCATCGATTGATGAATGGATAAAGAAGATGTGATATATAAAATAGAATATTACTCAGCCATCAAAAAGAAGGAAATCTTGCCATTTGTAACAACATGGATGGAGCTAGAGAGTATAATCCTAAGTGACATAAGTCAGAGAAAGACAGATATCATATGATTTCACTCACATGTGGAATTAAGAAACCAAACAAAAGAAAAACAGAAAAAAAAAAGAGAAAAAGAGAGAGACAAACCAAGAAACAGACTCTTAACTATAGAGAACAAACTGGTGGTTCCCAGAGGGGAAGTGGGTGGGAGGATGGGGGAAATACGTGATGGAGATCAAGGAGGGCAGTTGTTGTGATGAGCACCAGGTGTTGTATGACAGTGTCGAATCACTCACTATATTGTACACCTGAAACTAGTATAACACTGCATGTTAACTGGAATTAAAATTTAAAAATAGATTATTCAAAATAAAATTTAAAAAGCCCACCCAAAAGCTCTCAGTTTCTCATTTAGGTGCCACTACCCCTTTCATCAGCTAGACTTTTTAAGATCTAGTTTCTCTTGGCATCACCAACATCAATATGTTGTCAAGCCCTAGAGAGAAAACTTCTACTGTTTGGTTAACTCAACTACTGCTGATTCTTACATTGGCTAAATTGCTATGTTTAACTCCCAAACTCTCATCTTCCTTATCTTGAGTGCAACTCTCCTCAGGGCCACATAAGAAATATGCTGTAGACTAAAATTCAGGAAGAGAATGTGTTCTGAAATGTGAGATGTGGTGGAGAAGGGAGACTTTGGCATTTTTATAGAATCATGTAGAAAGGACCCTTGAAGGTCTTCCACTGCATCCGCCCTCCCCAATGGAGGACTGTCTTCCCCAGGATCCCTGATGATTCACCAAACTCCCTCTGTAGCCTTACGAAGCCAGTCATTCCATGGTTGAGCTTCTCTCTTCATTGGGAAACTTGTCCTTGTTTTAAACTTAGGTCTGACTGCTCTAATTTCAGTCTGAAAATTGCACTAGTTCTCTCTGACACAACCTAGCCCAAATCTATGGCCCCTCCACCTGAGAGCTCTCCATTCACAGGCTGGGCATTTCCACGTCTTCCACCTGCCTCTTCTATGCCATGGCTCCCAGGCCCTTTATATCCCTGGTCCCATTCCTCTGGATTCTTTCTAGTCTTATGCTCAGTTTCCAATGTAACATTTTGAGGTTCCTCATGCCACAAATATCCTTCCTAGGCAGCGAAACCCTCTGCCTCCTTACTTGTCTCTCACTTGGTAGTGACTCCATTGCCCACATACATCTTCAATTCCAGCTTTCAAGTGATCCATCAGCTGCCAAACCAAATACAGGAAAATAATTGCTGGTGAAACTTTAACTCTAAAAGACACACAAGGAAAGCTAATACACTTTGGAAAACAAAGGAGGTTTTAATTTCCTGGAACATGTCCTCTTTTCTATCACTCTGTTCATGTAACTGAAACTTATAATGCCTTCCATAGTAATTCAACTTAGTTTCATGATTCAGACTCTGTTGACTAGCTCTTTAATAACGCACATAACTTTCAGTGAAAAAGGATACCTGCCATTTGCTTTGAATAATATTTTTCTAGAATGATTTAGAAAATGTCTCATTCCTGAAATCACATGAATGTAATAGCTAATTGTTACTTTTAATTTCAGCACAAAAGAAAAACATTGCCAGTATCCAATTTATAGTTTCTGAAAATATAATTCTACAGATATCCTAAAATAATAATAATAATAACTAACAACAATATTTACCTATTTGCCTCATTTTTAATCTGATTATTTTGTCTCAGTATTACATTTCACCATCCAAGCCAATTACACTAAATAAATTTGCTTCACCTGAATTATTTACAGGAATTTCAGAAAAAAGCATAATCTCTTCAAAATTTATGAATTAGTCTTCATAATTTAAACTTGCAATCATTGAAGTTTATGCTGACCTCTAAAATATTTTCAAAATAGACAAATACTAAATTAATTCTGAAACATTTAATTGATGTACTTTCTACCAATAATTATAACTTTATTTGAGAAAAAAATAAATAAGACAGGAGTAAAGTATCTAAGTTTTATTGTCTTAGGTATATTATTTAATTTCTAAAAATAGTGCATAGAGGGTATAAAGATAGAAACAAAAATCTTCAGTCAGGTTAAAGCACTTCTTCTTTTTTTTTTTTTTAGGATTTTATTTATTTATTTGAGAGAATGAGCACAGGGGAGGGGCAAAGAGAGAGGGAGAAGCAGACTCCCTGTTGAGCAGGGAGCCTGACACGGGGCTCGATTCCAGGACCCTGGGATTGTGACCTGAACCAAAGGCAGACGCTTCACCAACTGAGCCACCCAGGGTCCCCAAAGCATTCCTTATTTTAAAATGCTTGCTCCTTATCCCCATCTGTTGAACATTTTCAAATGGCCTTGAAAATTTTTGGTTTGGGTTTAGATGACTTTGGCCATAAAATCCAGGGCTGATTTTGAAAGACTTCATCAGTTTCTCCAGCATTAGAATCATGAACTTAGAGGGATAAAAGAAACTTAAAAATTATCTGGGACAATCATCCCCTCAGAGCCTGAAGCTCCTGTACAGCAGCTATGCCAAGTGTTCCCAGTCACTGTTTCTACACCTCCATCTCACCTTTGGGTGTGCCAGAGGAGAAGCAATTGCCAGAATGCTCTTCATTAACTGAGCTGAAGTCTCTTTCCCCCTGTCTTCCATGTATTCCTTCTCATTTTTATTCCCTGGAGCCATACAGAATGGCATCCCTCTAATATTGTATTGAACTTAAACCAACAGGTAGAAACCATGCTCAACTTCATTTTCATCTTTGTCAGAATTGAATGTTTTCACTGAAAACTGCTACTAGGCTATATCTGCAGAAGTAGTAGAAGTCTTTACCCTTTCCTAATGAAAAGTTCAGAAAAAGCAGAGGGTCCCATGTTCCATAGGAACAATGATTTCAGAAGAAAATAGGGCAATTATGAGCATTAGTTATGGTGATCGTTTTTTTGAGGTGTTATCTAGGCAAGGCCAGTCCCCAGGTATTATTAACACTAATCTAGATGTTGCTGTGAAGGTATTTAGCAGATATGATTAAAGTCCATAATCAGTTGTCTTGAAATCAGGAAGATTATCCTCGATAATCTGGGTGGGACTAGTTTGATCAGTTCAAAGGCCTGGAGAGTAGAACTGAAGCTTCCTTGATGAAGAAGAAAATTCCAGTTGTGCACAGCAGTTGTGGCTCATGCCTGAGAGTTCTGGTCTACCTTTCTTGAAGGGCTGTCATACAGTTTCTGGGCTTGCCTAGTCAGCCCCTACAGTAGGTAAGCCAATTCCTTACAATGAAGCTCTTAATATATATCTCCTACTGGTTCTGCTTCCCTGTTGAACCCTGACAGGAACACTGCAAACTTGAACCAAATGGCAAGGAGAAAAGATAAAATGAAAGTGGGGGTTTGGACCCCAAAGTTCTACAGGCTATAAACAGGCTGATCAAAGGAATAAGCTGAAAACACAGGCCATCTTTCATAAAAAAGAAAGGATGACTCCGAGGGTGGAGTTGAGAACCCAGAGGGTGGAACCCATATTGGAGTTCCAGTCTGAGGGAACAGAGGCTGTTCCCAGGCCTTGAAACCAAGTAGTTTTTCCAGTCATTGGAAATGACTCCCTTTTTCCTTCCATTTCCCCTCTTTTTGAAAGGGAATATCTATAGCCCTTGTCCTATGACTGCCCTACCAGTGTGTTTTGGGAGCAGGTAACTTGTTTCTTGAGTTCCACATGTTCACCATTGGAGATGAGCTGTGCCTCAGGATGGATAATACTCAGAGGCTCAACCATCCCTGATTTAGATGATTGAGATGATGAGATTTGGGACTTTTGAGGTGATAAAATTTTGGTGAGGTTTTGGTCTTTGAGTTGACACTACAATGGATTGAGACTTTGGGGACGTCAGGATAGAGTTAATGTATTTTGCATGTGGAATAGATATGAATCTTTGAGGGGCAGAGAGCAGACTGATAGGCAGAATAATGCCTGAAGATGTCCACATTCTAATCCCCAGAACCTGTGAATACGTTAGTTTATATGCGAAGGAAAATTAAGATAGTAGTTGGACTTAGGGTTGCCAACCTTAAGATAGAGAGAATATCCTAAATTAGCCACATGGGCCTAATATAATCATAAAGGTTTCTAATGTGGAAGAGGAAGGCAAAAAAGTTAGTATCAGAGTGATGCAGCATGAGAAAGATCTGAGCGGCCATTGCTGACTTTGAAGATGGGAGGGATCCATGAGCCAAGGAATGCTAGAGGCTTCTAGAAGCTGGAAGAGGCAAGAAAACAGATTTTTCCCTAGAAACTCCCAAAAGAAATAGAGCCCAGCAACATCTTGATTTTAGCCCAGTGAGACCCATTTTGAACTTCTGACCTACAGAACTATAAGATAATAACTATGGTTTTTCAAGCAACTAAATTTATGGTAATTTCCTACAGCAGCAATCAGAAACTAGTACAGTTACTCTTGATCTAGCTGGTGAGGAAAGAGACTATGTTTAGTGATGTGTACACAACATCTCATCATTTAGCTGATAGATTACTCCTACCGGTGACAAATGGAGAACATCTTATTAACTTACTAATTATGACAAAGAGATAACTTACACGAATATGAAGCTCTTCGTTGATGGATTCTTTTTTATTGGTCTTTTTAACATCCAGGTACCTGACCAGTGGGCCAATTGTGATTCCCTAGACCACAAATGACAAAATAAAGAGTTCTGTTGTAGTGAATATTGTCATTATAGAAAGTAAGTCTATTACCCAAACTATTAGAGCTTCCAATTTTCATATCTTTGTTTTGTACTAGCTTCTACTGGATAAATGCTCCAGTGTTTACTTTAGTTCTTATTTAAGTCTTTTAAATTCTGCAATGAAAATAGGCATTACTTTAAAGCAGGAATTTAGTGTCATCCCTTAAAATAACCTCATTAGTTTGCTGAGAAAAAAACTCCAGCTAAAATAAAAACTCTTGCTATCCAGTACTAATTGGAATCTTGTTTTCAGTAAAACACACTAGAGTAACAATCATTCGCCTGCTACCCAGGAATATTTTGATAAATATGTTTTATTAATTAAAAAGCAACATATTTTAGAGGTTAAAGGATGAACACAAACATGACCTAGAAGTTTTTGGGAATTTAGTTTGACTATTGAGCATATGTTGAAAAATTAGATAAAACATCCCTTTTTTGGTACCATACTAATTTAACACATCATCCTGAAAGAATCTACTTATTTCAGATATGAAAGAAATCTACTGACCTGAATAAATACAGTAAAATATATAACTACTAGAGTAGCAGTGACAAACATTTTCTTCCTAGGAAAAAGAGACAGAGGAAGCAAAAATGCAAGTGAAAAACTTCCAGCTCCTCGGACACCACTGTAGAAAATTATGCACTGGTCCTTGATGGAGAAGGGGAAAGTCCGAAACTGGTTACTGACATAGAAGAGAGCAAATACGCCTAGAAAGGGGGAAATACGTATTAGAGCAAAGGGTCATGAATGGGTAGATATACAATGCTAGTGAACCCGAGTCGTGTGCATGTGCCCGCAAAACAACGCAACCTAATTTCATCACACCCATGATTGTCCATCCCAAACAAAATATCTTACAAAACTTCATTTCTTGGGGCCTGGGTGGCTCAGATGGTTAAGCATCTGCCTTCGGCTCAGGTCATGATCCCAGGGTCCTGGGATCGAGCCCCACATCGGGCTCCTGCCTCAGAGGGGAGCCTGCTTCTCCCTCTCCCTCTGCCTCTCCCCCTGCTCATGCTCTCTCTCTATATATATCTCTATGTCTTAAATTAATAAATAAAATCTAAAAAAAAAAAAACAAAACTTCATTTCTTGAGTAGTTGTGAACAGTAGTGCTTCAGGTTATTAGCCTCCTAGCTTTTGTGTGTGTGTGTGTGTGTGTTTAAAGTAATAAAATCTTGATACTTTCTGATATAAGACATGGCATATATATTCTAATCTATACTCATAATTTTTGTTCTGCCTTTCAAAAGTAGGTAGAGCAAGGGTATTACTTGGGGGATAGAAACATTTTTGTCACCTCATGTTCTCAATGAGCAACCAAAGGAGGTGTATAATTTTAAACATAAGAGGACTCTTTTAGTGATTGTGGTCTCTGCTGGGTAAGCAAAACTTTTGTGGTTGGTTTGGTTCTTCTTGAGGTTCAATGCAAACAAGAAAGTTGGCAAGGGCTCAAAGGAGGGTTTCTTACTATCAGTAAGTGGAAGGTGGAGGGTGGCAGAGCTTGTTTAAAACACAGAGGTGTTTTCTACCACACTGATTTTCCATCCCTGAGTGGCCCACACGACCTAGCTTACCACCAATGCAGTGCTTCCTGGTGGGAAAGGCCCTTCACTAAAGCTCTGACTAAAGAGGAGGTTTTACTACAGAATAAAGCTCAGTATCCACGTGTGACTTCTAATCACACAGACTTCACAGCAAGCAACCTTTGGTGACAGGCACATGGATAATGTGAGAGACGGTAAAATCTAAAATTTTTCATTTTGTTTTTTGTGTCCTGGCTCCTCCACATACTAGTCATGTAACCTTGGCTAAGGTTCTGATCTTTTCATGTACTCAGTCTCTCTGGAGGAGATAATGGTAGTATTTACCTCAGGAGGTAGATGGAAGGTTTACATAAATTTAATTTCTATATATAACAGAAATCAGGGACTTTATGTTATAAGCCTTCATGAGTGTGAACTACATTAGCCAACGAGTCAGGCTGGGCATGAGAAGAGACTGGGAGGGAGAACTGGATTCTGACAGCTGGCTCTGTCCCTCACTGTGACATGGCCCAGTCAGCCATTCTCTCGGTGACTCTCCCCTCAGCTAGAATATGAAGGAGTCGGGTTGGAATGTCACCAAGGGCCAACAATGTTGAGGTACCCACCATATTAATCCTCTCTTAGATGGTTTATACTCCTGTTGGCTGGGCTGAAGTTCAGTAGTGTTACTTCTCTTGACATTAGAGAGTATTAGAACTGAAGGGAACCTAGGAAATTTGTTCATGCCTCCCATTTTGTGGTTGAGGAAGAAGATTTTGAGTATAGCTAGTTATTAGCAGTGCTAAGATTTGATTTGAAATTATTAATTTATATTATTAAATAACAGTTTCCTCAATTCTTTTCTCCCCAAGAAAGCGAACAGGCACATATATTCAGAGCTAGTTTTATGAATGTTTTAATATTTCTGCATTCTTATTATTCTTCCCAGATTTAAAACCCACCCTAAATTAATGTAGAATTGATATGTTCAAGGTAAGTTCTCATTCATTTCCCCTAATTTCTCTTTAATTGTAATTGGCTTGAAAATATTGATCAAAGTCAACTAAGCAAATGCTTCAAATCCTGCTCAAAATCATTTTAAAATAAAACTGCTTCTAATCAAAAGCCAGCACATATAATGTAGTTCAGTACTTAATGTTCTTGCTAGCCCCAGAAACATAAATGTACAAGATAAATAAGCAGCCATTAGTCAAGACATCTCACTTTTTTTTTAATTAGGCATATTTTATAGGGGTAAAGTCAGTTACATTATAGAGTTGCCTTTACTGATTAATAATAAGCACTTTTAAAAATAAAGATTTACTTCCTGGTCCTTGGTTTTCTATACATCAAACTCAACGCTCAACTAAAACCACCTGTATGTTTTAAGGGAATGTTTTCTAACAGTACCTGCCTTATATAGACTACACTTAGTGAGATCTCACTTTTCCTGTAATACAAGTGTAAATGCTCACAGTGTATAATCTATATCTGATTTAAGGTGCAAGAGGGTAAAAATTGACAAAGAAGTGAAGAGCAAGGGATAAATTTACTGAGTTATATTTAAATGTGTAAATGTGAAAGTTCTCTCTTCAAATAAAAAAGAAAAACAAACTCCTTGCCCCAGCCTTGCTTCAGTGCACAACCTTACCAGCCTCTGATTGCTCTGAACGGAGTGAGGGAGCACACAGACAACATTCCTGGTCACTATGAGGTGCCTATACTCCCCTAACAAGTCAAACCAGTTAGTGTCCCTTCACTACTTAGGCTATTACATTGCAGAAAGAGATAAGAAAAATTTTAAAAAGCAACAGGCAGGGGCCTCTTTGGGTCCTGCTGTCTCTTACTAATGGCTCTCCAGATCTGGCAGAAGACCAGGGTGAAACAGATGAAAGCCCAGTTCCACTCATGGTTCTTCCCAATGGTGGACACGCCCATGAAGATGAAGATCAGGGTCTCGCTGACGCTGCTCAGCATCTTCATGAAATACTTGATGGTCGTGTAGGATGTTTGGGACACATTTTCCTCTACATACTTTTTCATTGTTACCGCACAGGCCGTGATTCTGCAGATGGAACAGAGTCTCAGGAGAAGCCACAAGATTTTGCCCCTCCATGAAAAACTCTGTACTGGAGATGCCAAAGATACATAGGTCCTGTTTTTATCCAGAGAGAACATCTTCTCCATTCCCCTTTCCTTTTCCCCACAGGCTTTCTTTTTTCCTCTTCTCCCTCCCCAAAGGGTTTGCTCAAGTTGAGTGTGTTGGGAAAGGTGGGCATGGCATGGCTTTCTCACAAGAAAATGGTATCAACCATGCACAAACCCAAAGCAGAACTGTTTCTGGAAAGAATAATCCAGCGAGGCTCTCATTTCCACCACCTGAGCAATGTTTCTTACAACAATTTAATGAGATATTTTTCATTTAAAATGTTTTTGTTCTAGAGACACTAGCAAGTCTGGTGGGGGGCAGTTGAGGGCAGGGGAAGAGAAAAAACTGCCTTGTCTAAGTAATTTAGATCACTTTTCGGGTGGGACAATAATGAGTATCTAGATTTTATACTATTATATTTAATTAAAATAGGTATTTCTATACAGTAAAATTAAATATTTCTGCCTGAGTAGCTGGGTATGAGCATAATACCATAGAGAAAACAACATGACTAGATATAGCAAGCCAAGTTAAGAAGCCTCGTTCCAAAATATAAGGAAGGATAAATATTTACAAATATTTTCATTAGGAAAAAAAATCTGGACTTCTGGTCTTATCCCATCTACCTAGTTTCATTCCACCCCAGTGTCATGTGATTTAAGGGAAATAGAAGAAGGCAGAACTCAGGAATGACAGTCCTTCATGGCATGCTGCCCTTTACCTTTAAAATAATGAATTTTTTAAGGAAAAAAAAAGCTATTGAAATGAGACTTTAACCTTGAACTTCTAGTTCTTCTCTGCATCAGCTCTTCTGAGCCTTTTAAATTGACCTTATAATTGCTCTGCTCTGCTAAGGCTGTTCAGGAGAAGAGCAAATTCAAAGGCTGGGGAGAACATTTGTTTGGCAAAGGCCCCGAATCGGATTTTACAAAAGTTTAAAAAGCCTGAATCCAGCAACACCCTTGCAGATTAGTGTCAGAAGTTCTGCCTTTTGCAGATGCTAGTCCACACCGTGTGGTCCTGCATTCTCTTTTATTGCTATGAGAGTTGGTCCTTGGTTTGTACTCACGCCAAGATGCCAGAGAGGTAGAGTGTCTCCGCAGCTAAGTAAGACAGATAACTGAACATGAAGACGATGAGTGGTTCGATTGCAGAGATATTCTGGGTGAAACGTGTGATAAACGCAGAAATGAACCCAAAAATGACGCCGAAAAATACTCCCCCAACCCCCACAATAATGAATCGGGCACATCCAGCCAAAATGTCGACAGGCTCTATGTCTTCAAATTTATGCATCTTTGTGAAGGCAATTAATATATTGTATAAGACCTAGACAAAAAGAAAATGAAAGAAAAGAAACATGAATTCAAAATGAGAAATATTTGACACACAGATTCTTAACTTTGTCTAGTTGAGTAATACACAACAGTGAATTACACAACCATAAATATTAATATGGCTAATACCTAACTTTAAAATTATTCCAAATAATTTGCTCTTATTCGTTTACACTGGGTAAGAGTCTAATACAGCTTTCAGTCACTGAGCACCTACTCTGCGCCAGTCTCTTTGCGAAGCTGTGTCAGTTATCAACTTAATTTCCTCCCAGCTCCGAATGTGCCTTTCAGTACGGGCTCTATAATAAACAATGGAATTCCTTCAGCAGAATTTTTCTCCTTCAAGGGAGCCGCATGTTACAGCTCTCTCAGCAGAGGGCGCTGAGGGGACATTGCAGGAGAAAGGGGCTTTCCAGCAACTTCCGGTGGGCGGGGCAATAGTCAGTCAGGTGATTGGGAGGACTTCCGATAGGTCCTTTGAGGGGTGGGCACAGGCCCTGGAGGCAGTTGGTCTGTAACCTTACAGCTTTGACAGGAGATAACTTGTCCATGGACCTCCTGACATGGAAAAAAGAAGCCCTGGCATAGCCCTCATGCAGCACGCCTGTCATCGAGGGTCCCCCTGAGCAGCCTTCTGTGTGTAAACCCTCTCCTCTCCCCTGTCCACGCAGTCTGCTCCTGGGAAGGCCCTTGCCCCCTCCTAAGCCCAGGCTCCCACTGCTCGCCTGGTGCCACCAACTACTGAGGCACTTTCCCTGCCTGCCTTCCCTAGGGTGGCCTATTGTTTGCCGAGCAGCTCCAGACCAGCTCTTCTGGCTAAACCACACAGCTTCTCTGCTGCCCAGTGGTCCATCCACACCTCCAGGGAGATCTGAACCCCTTTCAAGTTTGTTGTTTGAGGGGGGGGAACCATCCCACAGCCTTAGGGTACCAGGAAGAGTTCTCATGTCTTACAGCTAGTCCTTTGTTACAGTTGATCATTTTGATATTAAAATTTCTCTGTTTAATCTACTGTGTGGTTTCTCTCTCTCAGTTGGACCCCACTTTGCATATATGTCATCTCATTGAATCCTCCAAACCACTCGAACCCATGTGATACACACTCCCAATTTTCCTGCTATTTCTCTACTTATTTCAACATGTATAAGAAATTACGGTGGGGGCACCTGGGTGGCTCAGTTAAACATCTGAATCTTGATTTTGGCCCAGGTCGTGATCTCAGGGTTCTGGGATGAAACCCCACTCATCATGGAGTCTGCTTGTCCCTCTCCCTCTCCTTCTTCCCCCACATGCGCTCTCTCTCTCTCCCTCTCTCAAATAAAGAAATAAAATCTTAAAAGAAAAAGAAAGAAAGAAATTACAGTGATCTAGGGATCACTACTTGATGTGCTTGGCAGCCCAGAACTGAGACTGAACTTCTGAAAAGTGGCAGCTGCCGCACAGTTAACAAGATGCACAAAACAGGTAAAGTAAGATTTCTGAGGAAATTGAAGACCTTTGAGGATATTAGGCCCTGATGAGTCCTGATAAACCACAGCATATACCTATTGGCCTTTGTTTGCCTATACTAGGAAAAATTGGGAAAAAAAAAAATCAGAACAGGAGCAGAAGCTAAAACTCAAGGAAATGATTATCTGCTGTATGTGGAACCACAGGAGTGGATGGACCCTCCAGAATAGTTAGGTCTCTACCCATTCATTTCTCCGGCTCACACTCTGCTCTCACCCTACTTCTGGAATGATCCCTGACTCTGCGACCTGCAAGGCTTGCCCAGGCCTGAGCCTCCTGTGTGACTCCAACTTCTCCATCCCCAATTTGTTTTTCTTACTGAGACACTCACCTGTGTTCTTCAGGGTGCCCTGACAGCATTTGGATAGCGGCCTTGGCTTCACCCATGGGGCTTACCAGACCTACTGGCTGCCTTGTGTACACACTGACCCCTTGGCCGTGGTCTTCAATCTGCCATTCCTTCCCCAGCCCTTTTCCCTGTCCTGCCGCCTCCAGATCTGCTCTGTGAAGGGCCTCTGCTGACCCCCCATGACATCACCTTTATGATTAAAGTTTGTTGTTTTCTGATGAGATGGTCAATGAAGAAGCCTAGGCTGGCTTCTTGTTATGTTCACGATCATAAACTATCAAGGTACATTTAAAGCAAAGCCCCACTTCATCTCATTTGCATTTTTTTCTAAGGAGTGCCTCACATTTGTTTGAGTGAGGTTGTTCTCCAGCAGCAGAAATAGAACAAGCAGCTAGTCTGTGGCAATGAGTGTCTCTGTTTATGGATGCCCTAGAGTTGCTGTATAAACTGTTAATACACTTTGCTATCCATTTCTGGGTGGAGATCAAAAATTTTATCCAGGGACACTGGGTGGCTCAGTTGGTTAAGCATCTGCCTTTGGCTCAGGTCATGATCCCAGGGTCCTGAGATCGAGCCTCACATCGGGCTCCCTGCTCAGTGGGGAGCCTGCTTCTCCCTCTACCTGCCACTCCCCCTGCTTGGGCTCTCTCTCTCTCACTCTCTCATTCTCTGACAAATAAATAAATAAAATCTTTAAAAAAAAAAAAGAAAAGAAAATATATTTTTCAAAAAAAAATCTTATCCAGCTCTACACAAGGGTATATGTCAGTTATATCTCAATGAAGCTGGAAAGAGAAAGAAAAAAAGTTAGGCAATATGGGATTTGCAACAGGTTTTAAATTTCAATTGGTTTATCTGAAAACATTTTCAGCAGAATTTTTTTTTTTAATTTTATTTATTTGAGAGAGAGAGAGCGCAAGAGCGGGTAGGGTCAGAGGGAGAAGCAGACCCCATGCTGAGCAGGGAGCCCGATGCGGGACTCGATCCCGGAACTCCAGGATCATGACCTGAGCCAAAGGCAGTCGCTTAACCAACTGAGCCACTCAGGCACCCTTCAGCAGAATTTTTAAAAAGTTTATGGCGTGTAGACAGAATTCTTCTTGAGTCCAGTAGTTAACATGTAATTTCTCCTACTTTTATATTTAATTGTATTTCTGGAGATGGGAGGTAGGGGCTGGGACAGGAGCCAGTGATACCTGGGGCAGGATGGGTCCTTGGGCCCATATCATGTCCTTCCCTGGGAGTCTATGAAATGCACCTTTGTACTACATCTCTGGAGGATGAATTGGTGTTCTTTTTTCCTAAGAAGAATTTAAATATTCCATTCTTTCAAGTTTTACATATTTAGCTGGTTGCTATTATAACTATGGGCATTCCAAAGAACACACACAACTTGCTTATACTGCAACCAACACTTAAATACTGTTCTCGGTTCTGGCCCTCCTTCCATGGCCCTCCCACACCAAGCAGGATGCACCTAATCTGGCCCCATGTAGAAAATTTCTTTCTTACAATGATACCTCAGATCTTTCTCCCTGCCTCCTTCTCTTGGAAATCTATTCTATTTTTTCTTAATCTGGTTTGGTTCCTTAGGTGCCAAATATAGCTGCTCATTGGGAAAATGCTCTTGTCTGGCCTCACTTTTCCCTACAGAGCCTCTGGACTTGAATTTCCTTTCTGAATCACAGACTTGTATATCACCTTCTTTAAGATAGGGTTTGGGGCACTTGGGTGGCTCAGTCAGTTAAGCATCCAACTCTTGATTTGGGCTCGGGTCATGATCTCAGGGTCACAGGATCCAGCCCCAAGTCAGGCTCCACTTCCACTTCGGTGCTGGGCGTGGAACCTGCTTAAGATTCTCTCTCTCTCTCTCTCTCTCCCTCTGCCCCTCCATCCCACTGCACACACGTGCTCTCTCTCTCAAAAAAGATATTAGGGTTTTGCTACAAGATATTGCAAGAGTGGTGACTTTTCACATTTAGTCTTTGTATACCAACTTACGTAGAAGGAAAGTTAAACAGAAAAAATTCAATTCAAAAGGTAACAATAAGTGGGGGAAAAACCCCCACAAATGTTTCTGTTTTCCCGGGAATTTGTTAGTTAAAAGCTGAAAGTCACTTGTTGTTTTTGGGTTTCCCTAAGAATGGGTCTTAAAATATGATGTTACCTCTGTGTATAAGGACTTCTCATGCATTCACAGTATGCCATTTTACAGCCTCCAATTTTGTTCCATTTAATTTTCCCTTAAAGATCCTTTTGGACTTTTTTTTGACTCTTTGATATTGACATGATGTTACGGAAATGACAATGTGTTGTGTGGTTTCCTGTTCCTGCATGACCCTCACAGCTGTGAGCACTTACCTTTAAATGGAAACTTCAGTCTCTACATCCTCTAGCCTTGGAAATGATAATACCTTTAGTAAAGAGAATTTCAAAAAGAAAAAAATCTTATCCAGTACAGAATGGCTTTGGCTTTGGAATACGAGTTGGCAGAAAGGTCAGTCCTTAAAGTAGCTCGGTTGTCACCACTCCTCACGTAAGAATCTATATCACTAATGGACCATGTTGGATGGGGAGAGGAGACATGAGGAGGGCGTCCAGTAGCCACTCTGCTCACAGGTCCAATGCACCTCCCCTCCCCAGTGCAGCTTTGTCACATTGCCCTCTGTATGAGTTTCCTAGAGCTGCTGCAACAAAATACACCAAACTTGGATGGCTTAAATCAACAGAAATTTATTCTCTCTCACTGCCCTGAAGGCTAGAAGTCCACAATCAAGGTGCTGAGAGGACTACACTCCATTGAAGTCTCTAGGATAGGACAGTTCTTTGTTCCTTCTTGGTTTCTGGTGGTTGTTGGCAAACCTTGGTGTCCCTTGACTTGTGGACATACCGCTCTGGTCTCTGCCGTTTTCTACATATGTCCTTCCCTCTGTGTCCCCTCCTCCATGTCTTCACATTGCCTTCTTACAAGGACACTAGTCATTGGACTATGACCCACATCAATCCAGTGTGAGCTCATCCTAACTAATTGTATCTGCAAAGAACTATTTCCAAATAAGATTACATCCTGAGGTTCTGGGTGGACATGAGTTTTGTGGGAAAAATATTCTTTCCAGTACAGCTTCTATAACCAA